CAGGTTTGTTCAGAGTGTTCCCCCAAGAAGACCACAACTCACTACGGAAATTTTGAATGTTCGCTGGTATATTTATACCAGTTACTCTTCCAGCACCACCTAATATAAAATACTTCGTCAATCTTTGTACATGTTATGAGGTAATTTTATACCACTTCTTGATGCAGGAAAGAGGTTCTCCATATTTAGCACATTACCAACATGGGCATCTATGTTGTTCAGCCATTTATCCATAATCTTTTGAACCTCAATTTCAACGAGACCTAATTTATCTAATATATCAATTCCCATAGTAACCTGAAATTATTCTTGAAAAGTAATTTATCATTGTAAAAAATATGACAATCACCTTTTCAGAGTTCAACGTGGTTAAGCCTTGTTCCATGATTTTACTGGCTTGCTGTTCTACAACAGCTTTAACGTGTTTTATTTGCTTTCCTTCTGGCTCCAAAATATCCAACCCAGTGAGGTCAACATCCCGGTGCTGCTCCTCTGTAATTACTATTAGTTTATACCTTTTTCATTAGCTTACATGAGGATAAAATAATAAAATTACCCAGTTCAGAAATAATATGAGCTGCTCGAGCAGGATCCAAGTCTGGCAGTTTTTTGGCAAGGTGCTGAACCCTTGATGCCCTCCTTAGCAGATCTGTTGTTTCATGAAGCCTTGACAAAACAACTGACTGCATTTCAAGCCTTTGATGAGGTTCAATTATTTTCATTTTCATCCTATCCACTGAGCTTACAAGACTCTTTAAAAATATATAAGTTTCTCAAAAACGGCTATTAAAAATACAAATAAATAAAAATAATATTTAAAAAAAAAGATGTGATTATCTGTTATTACATATACAATTTTTGATGGTCTATTGAGAAAGAATTATCAAACCCTTTACTCTAGCACTTGACATTTTGATTTTTTATATTATTTGTAATATTTCATTTAATTTTGGGGTATAAATATTAATTGTAGGCAGCTGGAGATCTGGAGAGAACTATAACTTGTTTAAACTAATATTCATTTTAAAAAATCCGGCTGACAGAAAAGAATAATTCCAAGCTGTAAATACTTGTCTTTTTTTGTACTGTACTTATATTTAGGAAATAAAGTATTATTACTATACATAAAAAAAAAAAATCTGGGATTAGGCCTACATATCTGTTTAGTACATAATTATGTCAAAGGCAGATTATTATTAATTTTTTTAGCCAACATTGTTTAGTTTTCATTTGTAGTAAGGTTTCAGCATCTTTTGTGACTTATTCTATATCTTATCTATGTAAATTATAGATAAAAATAACATTTGTGGAGGTAGTGAAATTTAGGTCTGCTGGGGACAATTTAATAACTTAAGAAACCTGTCATAAAGAAAGGCTTAAAAAACAACTACCCTTAAGGTGTCGTGACTGAGGGGTCTTAACTAACTAGTTATTAATACTTTTTCCCTAACCATCCCCAATACTTTTTCCAAATTTCTCAAATCAAATTTCAAAGAGCTATGCCACGATTAGAACCCAGAACTGCTAGTTGCACAAGTCGAACGATTAACAATTACGTCACCCTAACCACTGCGGGCCTGAATTTGATAATGAATATTGTATATAATGTATAAAAAATGTTACTTATAATTTGTGATAACAGGAAATAAACACTGCATAAATTAATTAATTGAAAAAATATATAATAAGGATAGTAAGATTTTTAAAAATTTATGAGTGTTAATTAATACTGTATTTTATGTTTACGGGCAGTACCAAACTAGAAAATGTTTTCATAAAACCAATCTTCTTGAGCAGTGAAAGAAAAATTAGATTAAACAAAAATGACTTAATAAAATGTAAATTCTTTTCTACTTATGAAAATTCGTAAAACATTGCAACTCAAAGAGGTGTGCATTTATTACATTTTCCATTATCTTATGTATTTTTTTATCAAATCTAAATAACCACACGTTTTCATTCTTGTCGTCTTTTACCTTTTTTTTCTTTTTTATCAAAACTAGAAATATGCTATTTCTTTTAACATCGTACGATTTTTTTTAAATTTAAAGCATTTTGTTTGCATTCTTCTAAACTGACAATTTATTACAAACGCATTACTTTTCCATTGACTCTCTAAATCTATTTTTTTTTAAATAATTGTAAAATTAAAAATCACAAAGTTATAGGTGGTTTATACCCAATGCGGTAATTTGTTTTCTATGTATATGTTCAATATTGATCTCATGTATAATTAGGGATGGTTACATCTATATTAAGATTTTTTATTGGGGGTATTTTAACAGTGAGCTCATATTAACCTACAGTTCAAGTGTTTTTGAAAAAAAATTGAAGTTTTATTCTTTGTATGTGTCTTAAAAAGTTAGTGTCATGAGTGGGATTCGAATCCCGCTCGTCACACTAACTTTTTCATTTCAACCAAGACCTTACATACAAAGAATAATTAATTGAAAGAAGTAATTTGGTCAATCAGACTACTAAACATAATTGAGTTAAAAGTATGTTGGTTCTTCTGGACTGGATCTGTATCTGGTACAGGTCTGCTGATATTAGAACCCAGGAACCTTACAGTGTGAGTTGCCATGTCAATGCTCTAACTTTTGTGGGCCAATAATGTCCCATTGAGATTATTTTATAGTACTATTATTTTGCGATATTTCAACCATTTTTACAATCTTAATTATTTTGTGTATTGTTATAATAGCTGGTGGTCGTTTTAAAATTCAACAGCTTTCATGATTCTTTTAACTTTTCAACCAGTACTGATCATTTGTTCTAAAAACTCTACTTAAGAGAATAAAATGTACTTACAATAGAAATTATTAATTTGCAAGAAAAAAAAACAGTCACAAAAGAAATTAATTAAAATAAACAAAGCAAAAAGCTCATTGGAGTGCTCATTGTAGAACATCATCCAAATAATTTTAAAACCAACAATGAATACAATAGTTCGTTGTATTCATGAGTAGTTAAGAATGAAATTACATTTATTCTTTACCGCTCCTCATGAATCCAACAAATTATTAAATGACCGGACACTTGAAAAAACACATTTCTACTCAACAGGAACAACGTAACTAACACGGATTTTTACGAACATATCACCATCAAATACAGATCTCAAGCCATAAAAAAATCAGTCTTTACCGCACTTCACGAATCCAACAAATTATTAAACAATCGGTCACTAAAAAAAAGCATATTTAATAGTTTTTATACATCAAGCTAGAAAACATAACCAACCATATAAAAGAACAAATAAGTGCCATTTTTATTTTATTTTTTATGAGGGTTCATAACAGCAGAGACCCACGGGGAGTTTGTGTTTTTGAAAAAAAACCCGCACTTTTAAATATGTCAGCTTCAAATGCAGTACCATTGGTTTTGAATCAGGACCTTTCCGATACAGTGAAATGATGAGCACTATGTCAACACATGATAGTATCTGTTTAATGTACATATTTTTGCCACAAATTAACATTTACATTCATCATGAAACTATAGTTTAAAAATAAATATTCATTACATTAATATTTATTTTGTAATTAAATACGTAAATATATGTCCAGTGATTCTAATAATAACAATTTTAAATATATTAAATAGATGGTCACTAAAAACACAACAAAAGTAATAATTGCTTCATTTCTGTCTCTACAATTGTTACCATCGTGTATTATTTGGTGCCAAGCTATAATCTCTTCATTAAAATAAGACAAAAAACTGTATTGTAAATTATGTTTAAATCTAGATTGGCAGTATTTAAATTTTTTTTTAAATAATTCTGCAATTTTCTTCAATACGGAAAACAATTGTGAGTAAGATAGGTTTATTAAACCAACTAAATAAAATTGTCAGTTGGAAAATTCTCCAACTAATTAATTGTATAGGGGAAACACAATAAAAATAAAAAATGAATAAAATTATTCTTTTTTTACACAGAAGGGTTTACATTAGTAGTGTATAACTGGAGTACACTTATTGTAGTTTTTTAAATAGCAGTACCAATTTATTCAGGACAAGAGAGAAATAATTGGATTGTGACAGGATATTTCATGTTGGTGTACTATTTCTCTAAAAAAATTTGGTTTACTAACAGATATGTCGTCAATTTGTTATGTGGTCCATAGAATGCATTTGCTGAGAATTCAGATAGGCTCTGTGGCCATCTTAGATCTTTTCTTTTTCTTTAAGAAAGGAAGCATACATCTCAAATGGCCATAAGGTCGATTAGGATTCCAATTCCTTAGACCAAACAAGCGCCCATCGAAAGTATTTTTCTTTATAAATAATTTAATTCGAATAACACTATCTGTTTTTTTCACATTTCTCTGAGACTACGTATAGAAATAAATCAATAATGTAACGTTCAAATCTGTTTTAAAATGTAAACGGATTAAATGTTTTTATTATATTATTCTTATAATTATATGTTTTATTCAATATTAATAACCCTTTTTCATTCATTGATTTTATTTTATTTTTAAACCTGCAAGGATATTAAGGAAAATATTAGTTCAGATAATGGTCTTTTAAGGATTTAAAAGTTGTTTTATAACCCATTATGTAGGTGTAATATTTATTTTCCAAATATATAATTGATTTTTTTTTTTTAATAAAGAAATTTAATATTGATAAAACAACCAAATAAAAATCATAAATAAATGTGCGAGACTATACTAGTTTAATTTGCTTTAATGTTTTTCTTTCTTTTTTGAAAAATCATCTGTAACAAATTTCAGATTCTGCTGTTCAGGATTTATAGGCTGTTGTGATTGGTAATAAAATATAGTTTATATTGAAAACCAGTAATAAACGAACGAACGACTAATTAGCTATATCAATGTTTAAAAAAATAAATAGATAGATAAATAAATCAAACAGTAAATAATAAATTAAAAAATAAATAATAAATAAATCAACAAAAAAAAACATTACAATGTTTGCAACAATAATATTGATTAATGGTTAAAATCAACTAATTTAAATAGAAATAGAAATAAAGTAATGAGATCATTTTATATTTTACAAGTAGTACATTCAGATTTACAGAAAAGAGAATTAAATATCCCAACTTATATTATTTTCGGCACAAAGGAATGTTTCTACAATAACTATATAAACACTCGCTTTCTTAAATATAATTAAAAAACTTACTACTTCTTTTTATTGATAATTGTTAAATCTTAAAGCATAAATAAAACCAACATGGGTAAAAGTTAATTTACAATCAAAATTCACCAGATTTATGTATAGTGTAAAGAGTTGGATAACTGTAAAAAAATTGTTCCATGCTGTACTAAATACATATAAACTTACTATATTAATATTTTTGTTCACACCTTTTATTTTAAATAATTAGTCCACTTCACGTTTTTTTAAAAATGTTATGCTACCTGGACATGAATGTGCATTACTGAAAGAACACCTTGTAATTTTTCAACCCATGTTGCCTGAGACACAAGGTCTTCATGCTTTTCCAGAACTTGCCTCTGCAATTCTTTGTCTAGTAATGAAATCCCTATATTGAAAACAAATAATTATTTCATTAAGTATAGAAAAAAAGAAATTGCAAAACAGCAAGAGGAAACTCATCATGACTATTACACTATCAGTTTCTGTTTGTTACTAAAAAAAATAAATAATAATATTTTCATTTTAAAAATTACATAACAGTTTTCTTAGTGTAAACAATAAATATTACAAAATTATTCAACTTCAAAATAAAATTAAAGAATGAAGGGTAGACAGCTCTGCCAGTAAATATTTTAAGTCCAACAACGAACTTCCTTTTTGCTAAATTTATCACACTTAATTATGTTATTTCTGCCATCAAGCCTTACCATCAGATAATCTAGAAAGTTGCTCTGTTACAGAAAGCGTGTGATGTACATAATTTTGAAGATCAACTTCTGGATGCTCCAATTTGTTGATGAATTGACATAAGAAATCTGAAAATTAACAGAGCTTGAAATTTAATATATAAAAAAATAAGTAGGAATTTAAAATATTAAACAAAAAGTGTAACAAAGAATAATGCAAATAATATGAAACAATGAGGTGAAGACTGCAAGGTGATATCTTGGTCTCTCTGACTATCTAATCTATTCTCACTGATTTTGTTTGTCAATTTGTAGTTCAATTCTCATTTCTTTTGTAGTTAGTGTGCCTAAATTGTTCATTGTTTAAAGGTTTGATAAAGTTGAATGAAGTGAACACTGTAGAAATGCTGTTTTTAGCATTACTTGTAACATTATTGCTACACTATTAGTAAGATTAACACGTTTTTAAAATTTACAATTAAAAGTTAAAAATTTTATCTATTTATTTTTCCTCACAGCCAAGACGTTATATAAAAAATATAATTAATTGAAATTATTATTATGGTCTGTTATGACTGTTAAACGTATATGGATTAACTTTATCGATGTTTGTTCAAATGTTAAAAATGCTGTAATTCATAATGGTGTTTAATTTTTTTTTTTAATGAAAGATGCTGAAGATGGGGAAATAACCCAAAACCACTCAAGGAAGGAATTTAAATAAACAAGTACAATGTACCACCAAAATTGTTTTCCGCTTATTAATGTTGGTTCCAAGTTATTTTCTTTTAGATATTCTCCTTAATACTCACTTTTGCAATTATTCTTTGTTATCAATTTTGAAACTTAAATAGTTTTTAAATGTGATGTAAAAATATGCTGCCATTGAAATTAACATTATTAGATATTTTTCTATAATTTTACTAATTTAATGAGTATGTTATATACTACTATACGGCCTATACTATATACTATATATAACATTAACAAATATAAAATTTATTTATGTGTATGTATTAAATGGTGAAAAATAAAAACAATGCTGGTGAAAGACTGATAAGTCAACTTGATCTCTCGTAATCGTTTATTTTTTTAAATGTATATATAATTTATTTATATGTATATTAAATTTATATATGTATAACTAAATAAGCATTTTGCATTGTTTATTTAGCAGTTACATTTAATTTTAATTAAACATGTATACATGTTTTTAACTAGATAAAGACAATAAGTACTATGTGTAATAATTACTCAATGTAAAATCATTTAAATTACCTTTATTCCAGTTATGCAACATCAATTATGGCATAGGCAATGGAAGCTTGATTTTTTTAAATGGAGGGCACCAATCTTCTTCGTGAATAGATGCTGTACACTTGTGGCATTTAAATTCATCCTCTTCCCCCAAGTTGTTGCTTTCTAAGTCAACACATTTCATGTGGAACCATTGGCCACATTGGCCATCACATTGTACCCAGCTGACATTTAAATCTGTTGGCTTTTGACAGTTGGATGCTGCACAGGGGTCACCAACTTCGTGTTCTTCCCATACTTGATCATGCAAAGTAGTTTCAGAAGCGAGTTGGGTGATGCACTTTTTTGATGTTTTTACACTTCTCCTTCGTCTTCTTCTGATGATCTTGGCAGGACTAGGATCGCTTAAACTTTCTGGTATACAGCCTGACATATCAGTAATGGTTTTCTTTTTAATACTCTTCACATTGACACTTTTGGGTTTGTACATAGCCTTTTTAGTTTGTCTTACTTTTCTTTGCAACACTGCTGTCGTCTTCACATTGGTCTCTAAATACTCTAATTTTTTTGGTGACATAGAATTGGATGAAAGTGATTCTTCTATTAAGTTTGCTGGCAAACTTATGTTTTCAAATGTTGGCTGATGAAACCTCATTTGCCAAGCATCATAAAAAATCCATAGTTGCTCCATTTCTTGGGAAGTGAATTCTAATAAATCTCCGAGCAACATCATTTGTCTTAAATCCGCAAAAGTACCTGCGCTCAGTTTGATCTGGCTTCTTAAATTTACGAGTGGGTATGTTCTAGATGTAGATGGATCATTTTTCTTTAAATTATTATTCATTACTTTCATTTTAAATTGACACCAAATATCTTCGGAGATTTCACAAGTTTCTTTAACGTTACCTACTACAGAATTCAGTCCTGATAACAACTCTTCTGAATTGAATAAGTTTTTGGTCATTTTCTGCCATCTTAAAAATTTTGCATATGTATAACTGAGCGCTAAAAATTCAGGAATTTTGACTTTAAGTTTATCACCTGAAGATAAGAGAGTACCAATACTTTCTATTGTTGGACGTTTTGTCATAGTACAATATGAACATATATTTTTAATAGTAAAACCAATCATTTGAGAATTGACGTTTCCATCAGTCTTGAAACAAGATACATGAAATGAAGTTTTGCATAGGAAACACACAATGGAGTAACCAGTCAAATCACCACCACAAACACATCTACAGAGCACATTATTTCCAGATTTGGCAGTTAATTCTAAATTTTCCATTCTTAGCTGTATCAATGACTGAAATTGTTCTTCAAAAGCTTTAAGAAAATCAGATTTTGCAAAATTGTGGTCTTTTTCATTTATTAAAGACTCAACATTTTTAGGAAGACTATTTTGCCAATGTGCAGACCTGGGTTCAAAACGTCTTGGCCATAATGCTTGCATCAGAGATATACCAGAATTTTGTTTTAAAAATACCTGCTTTCCAAAACTATGCCACCTATTGGCATGAAAAATTGCTTCTTCTAAATCAACTATGAACTTACTACTAACAGAAATCAATTTTGCTTTGGCCAATAAGGCTTCCAGTTCTGAAACATACAAGATGTCTTCACCAATTAATACCTTTTCTATAACATTTTGAACACTCTGGACTTCATCAATGTTTACCTTTACTATTTCCTTACTGGGCAATTTTAAATGGAATTGTTCACTTGTTGTTAAAACAGACATTTTGTTTAATTCTATGTCAGAAATTTTCAATGCTTCCATATTGAATGTTTTAATGGTTTGCATGTTAGTTAAATGATTTGTTAGTTCCTCCTTCTTTAAAATCACTTTTCTATTTGTAGAAGTTGAAGGATATGAAGACAATAACTCTTTTACTTCTTCAATTGTGGCTGTATTGTCGTATATCAATGTTTCTACTTTTTCAACCCAGTCGAATTCCTCTAATCGTTTTTCTAATAAAGGCAACTCCAGCAAGTCCAAATCTAACGACTTTCCCAATTTAACACAACTTACAATTCGAGCCCTTGGTGCAGCTTGCTTTGACAATACAGAAAAAGCCATTCTCTGAAATTTAAGTGCTTCATCCAGTAGTTTTTTTAAAGCGTTAGCTTCCATTATAGTACAGGGAAGATTTTCTATTTCATCATAGAACAAGGCAATGTCATCAATCGTCAGTTTATTCTGAACTTTCCTCTTTGCTAAACCATTCCCCACAATCACTCTAGCTAATGCAGAACAGTCAATAGATTTTCGCACTTGAAATTCAAGTAAATCTATTAGATCACTTTGTGGAAAATCTTTTTCTTTGGCTTCAATCAACAATTCAGTCAACGCTTTCAATGATATTTTGGTTGTTGATTCTGAAGATAAAGCATTTTCCACTTTCTTTTCCCATTCTTCAAATTTGTAAAGCTTGGTCTTCAATATCTCAATCATTTCTTTTAAAAAATTGATGCGAAATTGGTATTTCACAATATAATTGCTTGGTTTGCAATGGCATAGTTTGTGAATATGTTCAAGACAGACTAGTTTCATGCGGTTACAAGGGCAAAATACAGAGGACAGAAATACAGTAGTATTACATTCTGAGCAGACTCTTTCATCATCTGGAACTGTTACATAATTAAATTCCACTACTGTGTTTATTCCAAAGCTGATCGCTCTGTTCCATTTAACAGTTTCAGCATTAACCATTGCAACCATATCCTTCAAAGTGGCTTCAGCTATATCTCTATCTAGATCACCAGCTATCAATGCCATATTACAAACAAGCTCATCATGAGAAAAAACACACGGCCTTTTTAAGCTTGAATAATGACTGACACATTCTCTTCCCATTTGCAGCCAGTCATATGGGGCAAAATTGCAAGCTTCTGCAAAGTTGAAACCTTGATTAAAACCGGCATGGTATGCTCGTGGAAATGTTATAACAAATTCACCCTCTTTCTGATCTGTTCTATACACAGGTACCCCAGCATTCATCAAGTCATTCGGGTTCATAATAGTGACCAAATGATGGAGTAAATCCGGTTGAGCAGCAAACAATTCAGGAGCAGCATTCTTCATGGCTTTCTCAAATTTTTCAGCATTACTACCTGAGACACCATACCATGTTTTTGGCTCTCCTAAATGTAAGTAATTAATCGAATAACTCCAATGATCTTCGTTGTGCCAACAGAATGTAGCAAAACACATCCCAGCGTACATCCAAGGGATTTTCATGCCTGAGATGTCTGCACTAATATAGCGAAGAACTGAAGAATTCAGTACGGGTAGATTATTCAGATTCCAAGGGGAATCTGCATATTTATCAAATTCCTCTCTTGAGATTCCATCTGTGTACGGCTGATTACGTCTGGGAAAACCGGAACCATGATCTATAACATGAAGATCAGCTCCATATTCCACTGTTACTGCTTCATCGATTGAAGAAACAACCCTCCAAAATTCTTGTTCAACTTTACTAGTAGATACTGATGTAGGATCGGTTTTAAAATAGTTACTTTTAAATTCATCTGCCATCATTTTGAATTCATTTAACGAATATTCACGCTCAGCCTGAGCAAAACCAAAATCTTCAAGAGGTTTATAAACTTCAGCAGCAACACATTTCGGACAACGCCAGCGTTCTGGAATGTCCACAAGTTTTGGGATCAAGCACGATGAATGATATCGATCTTGACAAGTGACACAAGTTACAAGTGGCTCCTCAATATCACCTGTACAACAGCTCTTACACATATATTTAGCTAAAGGGTCAAACTCGTATAAAATTTTTTTGCCCCTTGTTCGAGAATTTTCTTTTAAAAGGGAGCTATCTTCACAAACAGCCATTTTTGGTCCAGGACCTAGAAATTTAAGGCTCTTTAGTTCTCTCAACGAAGGCAAGCATTTACTGAAACCATATTCTTGTTTCTCCTCGACAGATTTAGCGCTAGGATGATTGGCTGAATTCTTTTCAGAATTATTCCTAGAGCAATTCATGCCGTCATGGTTCTCTTCATTTTTCTGGGATTGTAAAAATGGGAGTATAAGGTCTTCATAATTATGTTTTAGTGCAGAGGAAGCTGTTTTTGAAATATAGCCCATTTCATTAGCAATATCGGTCCATTTTTTCTCTTTTGTTACCTCATCAATGCCACCCTTTTCTTTAACTAATCTATGCAGTGTGTATAGATCAAGGCTATTTTTTTCAACTAGAGGGATTTGAAATGTTTTACCTCTAAGTGCAAAGAATTTTGTCAATTGATCAATGAAATTGAGTTTGATTCTCGTCCGTGCTTCCAACTCATTTATCCTCTGTATCCTGGGAGTGAACCTGAGACTATCTTTTTGAAGGACAAAGGGCGACTTCCAACCTTGTGGCGGTATAATTTTGCAAATACCTGATTTCTCTCCGATAATACGTATTTTTTTAATATATTCCAATGGATTAGAAAACTCCTCAAATGAAGGCTCAAAAACAGGTGCTTCGGGTGGTGGACTGAAATTAAATTTACTTTTCCCTTTCCTTGGTGTTGTTTTTGGCTCTTTGGGTCTAGTCTCCATTCTTGATTATATAGAAGAACTTATTTTGATGACATTCTTATTTCTACAGCCCAAGATGACATTCCTTATGCCTAAAAAAAAAAGAGAAACATGTGTTTTAAGGGGGATAAATGACAAATTAACTTTGTCAATATACAATTGGAATTTAATAAAAAATCAACGCTTAATTTACTGGTGTAAATATAAATTTTTCAATAAAACATCACTGGCATTTATATGTGAACTGAAATTGTAAAAGTAGTGGTCACCCCTATCATATTACTATACAGTTACTTCTCTCACGTTTGAAATTAGACTCAATTATTCTTATTATGAAGGAAATACTCACACAGATTTACTCCATGTAACACCAATATGCTGTGATTGTATTAAATCTTTTATTATTACAAAACAACGACAGTATTTATTTATTATATTTTCAGTTTACTCTTTTGTTCGATGATTTAATTATGACGTACTTATTAACCAAATAATTTAGAAAGTAAAAAAAATGATTAAGATCTATAATTGATGTATCAACCGTAATTTGAAATACAGTTATGTGAATTTACTATATACCCAAAAAGAAATCGAAGCAAATTAAATATGTACGGAAGTGAACAGATACACTGCAGAAACTAATATTTGCTAACCATTACCACCATTTGGTGCTGTGTATTTCAAATCTTATATAGTTGTATTATATGGGGAATATGATTATTAAGAAATCGAAAAAGAAAAATATCGGTTAATCGCATTAGTTTAATTACCTGGTATTTCTAGATATAAGTAGTACTGCTGGTACAGAAAACCCTAACAGGCATTGAATACCTACTATGGCGAATGGAACCGACGGCACGAGGATTGAGTCACGTAGACACTCATCGATTCATGGTTCCTTGCTCGAGTTTCATTTTCTCAATAAAATTAAATTGACAAAGTAATGTCGGTGCGCAAACCGACAAAAGAACAAAAGCACATCTTCAAAGCGAATGAGTCCGTTTGCACGGAAATCGTCGTCAACGTCGGAATTACACAACAAGCACTTCTTTGCAAGTAACGTAAAGATACAAACATTGCTTTAACTGAAGCAACATCTCAACATGGCGACAACGAAGCACTGTCTAAGGCCACATACGCAACCGGGCCGAGTTCAACAGGAATAGTCTTCGGGTCGAAGAAGCCTTCGATCGTCTTTTCCTTTTGTCTGGATTTTAACTGATAATTTTGGGAAAAAAGCAAGATTTCGATCAAAATGGAGATAATTCAAGTTCACGCGATGTCACAATTCACAAAGAGAAGGAGGAAGACGTGCGGGCCGAGATCACAATGGTGTCTTTTCATTCGTATTACGATCCAATGGTAGTCAATTCCTACATTTTCTACTTTGCATTTCACCCGCATATCAGGTTTTTGTTTAATTGTATATACATATAAATGTTCAAGCAATTTTAAGAAAATATATATGTATCAAATAACCATCGGGGATCATGTAAAGGCATATGTAGGTTCTGTAATATACAGATATATACGTCTACAACTTGTAATAGTATAACTTATATATAACTTGTATATATATAAAAGAAAAGTTAGACCACAGAACCGATGAAAACCCAATTGTTCTTTTCTTAAAGGGAATTTTGATAATAGACAAAGTACGGGGAAAACTCAAATTGAAACTGAAATGGATGATATAAGCAAATGTATCTTACCAATGTAACTGCTAATGTTAACGGGTCGAATCCCCAATTTTAATAGTAAAGAAAGATGGCTCGTGCGCAATGTCATACAATTAACAGTTATCATGGCCGTTTTTACAACTAGAATTTCCTACGCCTTGTCACACTAAAATAAGATGTAATTTGCTTCCGTAGCGTCTATACGCGTTTTGTCGAGCGAACAAATATTTTTATATTAAATCTAGACTGTTTCAAAATAATGAACACTTTCGCCGTAAACAAATGGAATTACCTTAATAATCTTAATTGTAAATTTCAATGGCAGCACAAATAAGAAACAAAAACTTAACTAGTACTACGGCAGTGTGTAGAAAATAGAAGCGTCTAAACGAGTATTGGAGAACGAAGGGGGAACGATAATTAATACGTGTAAAAACAATGAGACTTACCGTCATTTTTAAACGAGCTCCATACCTCGGTCCCCATTTAAACAACATACAAATCTCAGCCTACCATCCGATTTTCTGACTGCCGGTGCTTCGCACTTTCAAACCCTACATTAAATGAAGGACACGTAGAAATAAACACCAAAAAGGCATGTGCGGTTTAATAGAACGAAGGTTACCCTATCCTCCGAACATGCCATTTGAAATCTATGTATATGTAGTATGTTCGTATTTCCTTTGGACAGAGGGAAACCGGGTTTTTAATCTAGTTGATACAGTAAATTAAACTCTAATAGAATTAGAGAGAGAGTTAAAAGAAGTATTTCCGTTCCTCTTTATTTATAAATTATGAGGTACATACAACAATAATTATGACGAAGTGCTGGTGTTGGCTGACGGTTTGTCGCCTAACTCGAATCTTGGCCATTCGAGTTAATTGGCGAAATGTAGATTGTCGACTATTCTTATTTGTTATAACATTACACGTATACACCGCTGAAGTAAATGACCTTTGACTCTGGGGTCAGACACAAACCTTTGTTGACATTGGGGTTATGTAAAGTAATTGAAAACAAAATTTGAAAGTTTCACATTCATTTTTTATTTCAAGTATTTGATTATATTATAATAAAAATAAAACTAAAGAGCACTTGTTTGTGGGCCAACTCCCACGCAAGTGCTCCCTATGCAGAGAAAGATCGCTCGATGTGGCCACATAATTGATGCACGTCTTGCCTTGGCTCCCTGTAGGGTGCGAGTGGGCATGCCGCCGGATTTAAAAGGGGTCCTTGGACACAGTGGCGAGTTTCAGGGTCCCCTTTTCGCTCTTTAGGGGAATTGGGAAATTTTTTATGTATATAACCGTCAAAATATGTTTCGTGATTCTGTTTTGTATAAGTAAGTGTACCTGATAATCGTAAGACATTACCGCACAAGAGCATTAAACACACTAAATTTGGCTTTAATAGTGGACCAGGTTTTGTTTATAGCAATTTCCAATGCTGGCATCTTCCTTGATAAATGCTTCGACGAAGAAAGTTGAAGGGTAAATATTATTCCTAAATATTTGTATTCTTTTACCACCTCTATTCACAGATGGATCACTTATCGAAGGTAGAGGGAGTGGTGCAGGAATCTACATACCAAAATTAGGAATCAGCATCTCCTCCCCTCTTGGCACTAACACCTCCATTTTTTCAGCTGGAAATCTGGGCCATCAATGTGTGTTGTAGAACACTTATGGAAAATAAAATAAAGGGAAAAGATATTACAATTTTTTCTGACAGTCAGGCTAGTCGTAGGGCAATACAAAAAGATTTGTCAACCTCACAACTGGTGGAGGAAACTATAGATCTATCAGTAGGATCTCTTTCAGGTTTGAGAACAAGGTAACCCTTATTTGGATACCAGCACATAAAGGATACCATGGCAATGAAAAGGCGGAAGGCCTAGCCAAAGAAGGTTCTAATATTGCGTTTGTTGGACCACAACCGTTATTACCTCACTCTATGAGCACAGCGAAAGAGAGTATTAATAACTGCGGTGTGAAACAATTCCTTAGGGAGTGGAATTTATCCCCCGGACACAGGCAATCGAAAGAGTTTGTTAAGCGATCAAACCAGCAGAATCGTAATGGCTATTCTCTATCTCAAGGAAGGGAATTAGGAGGCTGATAGGTATTCTGACGGGCCACTGCCCACTGAGAGGAACCTCTTCATAATGGGTATCCTACCAGATCCCTTTTGCCGTTTTTGCAAAATAAAAGAAGAAACGGCAAGGCACTACCTCGCAGAGTGTGATAGGCATGCTAGGTCTAGATTTGAAATCTTTGAAGGAGAGGACATCACCAATTCACTCCCCAAGATTAAATGGTCCAAAATCTTTGGGTTTCTGAACAGGTCCAAGAGGTTTATGCAGGACAAGTGAGCCGACCAAGTCCTTTTTAGGGATGGGGTACAAGTCTACCCAGCCTCAACAGAAAATAGCTACCCAAACAGTAGGTTGCATACAAAGATTAGCAAAGCTTTGTATCACTGGGGCAATGAGAACTACCCTTACAAATGCACTAGAAATTCTGCTAAACCTTCCTCCACTGGAAATATTCATGCAAGGAAAAGCTCCAAAAACACTCAAATTGGATGGAAACTAACAAACATAATTAACAAAATCATATATCCGTTCTTAGAAATGGTCACTGCCTACATGATCCTGGAAACATTCTTTACCTTATAAAGTCTGAACAGATTATAAAGAAGAGAACTCAAGAGAGCATCAGATACAATGATATGGTTTCAAATGGCTCCAAAACGAATGAAGGAACCAAATCAAATGTTTTCTGAACAAGCGCAAAATATGAGCTGAACAAGCCAAAATAATCAAATTCATTAGGGACTTTAGTCTTTCAAGCAGAAATACATGCCATCAATGCTTCTTCCCCTAGAAAATCTTAAAAGAGGTTACACTGTCAACAAAATTCTCATAAGATCGGATAGCCAAGAATTAGCATGTAAAAAATCACATCAAAACTAGTCAGCGAATCCATCCGAAATATCCTAAACCTGGGGAAACACGACAATCTGATGGGTGCCAGGGCACAAAGGAATTTTGGATAATGGAAAAGCTGGCACACTTGCCTGAGGAGGATCTACAAGACCGTACATAGGCATTGAACTTACACTTGGGATATTAAAAACAAATACAGAATCCTCCATCCCAGAATGGCTCCAAATAAAAACCGATACTTGGATAAACTCTAGGGGATGTTGGATAAACTCTAACACAACTTATGTGAAAACAATTGCAACAAGACTGATAAACTCACTGCCTCAGTTGGAGAGGGTCAGACTCAGAGTAGTGATAGGTCTATTAACCAATCACTGGCATCTGAGAAAACATCTACATAACATGGGCATATTAATGATGATCCCATTTACAGATTATGTAACGAGGTTGAATAACCAGCCACCCATATCAATTTTTAATGCAAAGCAAAAGCTCAATGAAGACATAACCTAGCATACAGAAAAAATTTAGAGAATGAAATTGTAGCAGCAACAGTCAATGACCTAATACTTCTAAGAAGAACTAGGAAGGCTGCAGAGCCTGGGGAGCACAAAAAACACTTCCTAGTATCCTACTCCTCCTCATTATCAACATCATAAGAGTCTAAATTGACCATCTATTCAACCAGGTGGGCATTGACTTTGCAGGTCCCTTTTTGGTAAAGTACAGTGCTCGTCAAAATGTTAGTGTCACGAAAGCTTATCTCTGCCTGTTTGTGTGTTTATATACTGAAGTCTCACGTTTAGAATTTCTATCTAGTCTGTCGTCAGAAGCATTTTTAGTCAATTTGGATCAATTTGTGGCATGTATAGACACCCTTAACACTATTTGTTCCAACTATGGTCCCAATTTTGTAGGAGCCGCTGGTCACACAATGGAAACTCACATTTTCCTGAAAAATAATTCCACCAAAATTGATATCAACTGCTCTCAAAAGCAAATTCATTGGACGTTCAATCCACCCAAATCCCCCAATTTTCGTGGATTGTGGGAGGCTGCTAAAAAATTTCTCATATTGAAAAGGATAATAGCTGAAGCAGTCCTGACGTTTGAAGAGTATTAACCTTATTTTCTCCATAGAAGCAAACCTTAAAGCCAGCCTTTATATCATTTAAGGGATGACCATGACTATGTTGATTATTTAACTCCTCACCACTTCTTAATAGGTTCTCATCTGCTAGTCTGCCTGAAAAGCCTTTGCCTTATAATTCTCTATTATACGAACTTTGGGCTCAGTCATGACTCATTATTCAACTCTTCTAGAAGGGATGGATTCACAGATATTTGATTACTTTGAACAATAGAGTTAAGAGTTCAAGTAATTGTAAACCCTTCATAGAGAGATAATTTTCTTGACTAACTTGGCGAGTAACCCTCTCACCTGGTCCATAGCCAGAATCTCACAGTTGCACCCAGGCAAGGACAGGATCTCCAGTCGCCTTTGTCCATACTGTTCAAGGTGTTGCAAAACACACCCAAGTCAATAAACTGTTATGTTTGCCTGACTAATTTAAATTCGTCTCATGTAAATATTGTAAATCTTTCTTTTGGTTCGTTCTTGTGGGTGGAATGTGGGAGAATGTTTCTGTTTTTAATTTTTATTCCTTCATTTATTTATTTTTTCACTTGCACTTATTATACTAGGTGGTTTAGTTTTCACAATCTTTCTGAACTTTGAAATTATTTTCTTCTGTGAGTTCCATTTTCATTTTGTTTTACTTGTTTCTTGCCTTCTAAAGTCATTCGAGATTTGATGGGTGGTGATGTTAGCGCCAACGATGCCCTTTGTACCTGTAGGTAAAGGGGGCTGCAAAATTGTGGAACCCAATTCTTCCTCCTACTTGATGCTGGAGGACCAAGGTCATAAGGACTTGGAGTAGCCAAAAACAAAAGGCATATTTACACAGTTATTTATCTACAAATCTAATTAGTAGTTAGTATTTAATATATTATATAAAATAAATAAACAGACAAATATAGATAGATATCCTTTTTACACAGCCCACAAATTAAGTAATAAAGAAGAAAAACAGGAACCTTAACAATTCTAACCTTAAATTAAATAAACCTACCATCACAATTGTACACCGTAAATTCAATTAAAAATAAATAGCCAACCAACCAATAGCTCACAAGGCCTTTCGAACATGGTATTTAAACTAATTATTCATGTACTTCCTACTAACAATTATAGCATTATTTTGTACATTTGAACTTTTTTAATATTATGCACCCTCTCATGCAGCGATAGGCTTTTTTGTATGTCACTGAGTCATCATCGCCCAATGGCTGACACTCGTGGTGGTTGACAACTGCATTACCGCGGAACCCGCTAGGTGTCACAACCAGTTCTGGAATGATCTGCTCTCCTCTCTTGTCTCAGAGTAGAGCCATTTATTATTCAACTATGCAGCGGCATTTATTACCAAGCCACTAGAGGTGGCGCACGGCGCATTCTCTAAGAAACTTTGCAGTTTTACACCCAATTGCAAGAAGATTTTTCTTTCCATGTTTGGCGCCCACCGCTCATTTGCCGGGCACTCGGCTTTTTTATTTATCACACTTCCTACAATAAGGCGCAGTGCCCAGTGCCTACACTAGAGGTAGCGCAGGGCGCATTCTCTAAGAAACTTTGCAGTTTTACACCCAATTGTAAAAAGATTTTTCTTTCCATGTTTGGCGCCCACCGCTCATTTGCCGGGCACTCGGCTTTTTTATTTATCACACTTCCTACAATAAGGCGCAGTGCCCAGTGCCTACACTAGAGGTAGCGCAGGGCGCATTCTCTAAGAAACTTTGCAGTTTTACACCCAATTGTAAAAAGATTTTTCTTTCCATGTTTGGCGCCCACCGCTCATTTGCCGGGCACTCGGCTTTTTTATTTATCACCACACTTCCTACAATAAGGCCCAGTGCCTACTACGCGATACTACAAGCGATGCGATTGCAATTCGACACCGTATCGCTTACTAACGTGATTCCTTGCAGCGAACCGTTGAAATTTTTCTAAATCTATTTTATATCCCTAAATTTGCCAAGTTCTATTAAATCTAATTTAGCTAGTTTTATATTTTCCATCAATCGTATCGTGAAATTTAACTGTGATGTCAAAATTTCATTGTTAAATTTCCATTTTTCGTTTGGTCTTTAAATATCATCATTTTTAATTTAGCGTCTTTAAGTTTCCAGTAGTCACAATACAGTAATAAATCTATCATTTTTTCTATCACCAAAGGAGAGTCTGCCAGTAATACCACATCATCAGCAAACATAACAGTACTTTTATTTACATTTTCACTCTTCGGAGTCTCGAAGTTTACCTTTGTTTCCAATGAAATTCAATAAACGGCAGTTCTTTCCCTGTTTGTAGTCTGCTTTTAATGTCGGCGGATTTTTTTTTAAATTTCCATTCTATCTTGAAATTCCTTCAATTCTCGGCGAGATTACATTCAAGTTTTAGTTCTGTAGGTCGCGTAAAGAAATCCATCTCCCTTTATTATTAACGGCTTTTTTCTTGACTTTAACCATTCATTCGCAAGATACACATGCACGTGGTTCAATTTACTAGTCACGAGCTCATGACTACGCCAAGTGTACGGAGAGTAGGAAACCAAGTGTACTCTCTGTCTGCTGAGAAACGACTGACTGTATTTAAACAATTGTTCATGATACAGACTTCAACATTCCGCCCACCAAAATTTGGTTTGGCACATTTAGTAAAAGATGGAGGCGAGGGATATGACCTTGGCCACTGGTCACTTGCAGATGCCGGTCGACGTTCTTAAGGTTAATATTCTTACCTCATTATCGGTCCCTAGATGGATATCTTCGATGCGCGCCAAATAGGTACTTCATTTAGGATCTGGCGGGCACTACGGAAAGGGTTCCGTCTGCAGCAATGATGACATTCCATTCCAGCGTCCATCCACTACGAGGCCTCCTATCGGCACTTCCAGTCTCTCGCAATCGAACAAACGCCCTGAAACCACTTAAAAAAACCACGCACTGAAAAACGCCAACTGTCTCTGGGATATCCATTTGCTGGCGACCTCGATGACTCATTCTCGCAATAATATTGACAACTTCTGGTTCAAGATGTCTTTTAAGTAACTCCGTTATTAAAAGTGAGGATTAACAAATTTTTTGTTTTCTATACATTTTTGAGCAGCACACACACACACACACACACGCACACGCACACGCACGCACGCACGCGCGGTGTTGAACTTATTTAATTAAATCAGATATGTTATTTTGGTTACAAACAGGAAACAAAAGTATGTATTGCATTTGTAGACCGCGCCTAGAACTTGATGGCGAATTCCAGTTCTGCATAATTTGAATTTTTTTCATATGTGAGTCTGCCGCTGAACCCCCAAAACCACAGGTATATTTCCTATAAATAGATGTAATAATTAGTGTGACTGCAGGGGAATGTGAGTCCGTCAGGTTTTTTAAGGATTTAACTCGCTGCTTTATCAGGTCACGCATGAAACATGTTTAGCCCACGTTGGTTTGATGTCCAAGTTGAGGAGATACATGTCGACGTTAGTTAAGGTGCTATGGCATTGTCATATTCTAGGATAGGTATTTCACACGTGGCAATAAAGCTCCACAAATTCTTTATATCTTCATACTCCATCAAAACCCTTGATTTTACATCATTCGAATTGGCATATATAACCAAAATCGCATTTTTTCCAATCTTGAAACACAAACATAATAAAATGCAATTAGAAAACTGGAGTACGAAAAAATAATAAAACCTTAAATTATTTTTTAGTTTATTAATTTTATTGTTATTTACCAGTGCATACTATTCTATTTTGTACATTAAATGCATGTAGTACTGCTGTGGAACGTGCAAAATAAAATTTGATTATAACCTATCTGCCAGAAAGAAACCTGTTACGTACGTAAAGATTAAGGTTAAATTTAAAACATGCATAGTTTCCAAAAGAATAGCTCTGAATATGATATTAAATAGCTGTACAGTTATGAAATGTACAAACTAATACGGGTAACATGTTAATACAGCTAAAATATTTTGTTCTATTAGTTGCCAAAATGTTGATTGCCTGTATGGGTAAACTGGTTGTAAAAAAACTGTGTATACTTGAAAACAATTTTAATACAGCAATGATTAATGTTACAAGTATATCAGTACAATTGTATCTTTTAATCAGTTCTCTTTTGAATTATTATCATTTAAATATTTTACAGTCTTAATTGTATAGATAATATTAAATATATCGAAACATTAATACGTTCTGAAATATAAACGTAATTGCTACAATCCCCTCATGGGGATTGAACCCAAACGACATTCTACAATATGTACCTACACAAAATCTAGATTCGTATTCACCACTTAAGCTCTTTTGTTGGCTTTCCCGTGGTATAATACTCTGTACTGAGGTGCCTGTTCCATATAGTTTATTACACTATAATGTGATAATTAAACTATTTGATCCACACATACTAACTTATTCATTCAATCTTCCATCCAAAATTACTTATTAAAAATAGGAATACTTAATTTTCACTTAACTAGACGCCTTAAATACGTTTACACAAACTTTTTTTTGTAATTTTTATTTTTTGAAAATATATTACTATAACAATTATTACAATAAAAATCTAACAAGAGACACGAATCGAATGCCCTTCTGATTACATCTAAAGAGGTAGCATGTTGTTGGCATTATAATAATTTGGTATTATAACACTTTTCGAACGCATTAATTTAGATAGAAAAATTTTGAAACGTAAATTACTAGGCGTTCAAAGAGACTTACAACTTGGATTACTGATCATAATTACTTTGTACAGTTAGAAATCTCCTTGAAAGTATTGCACATATTAAAAGTTACGCATATGTAGAATAAAATTTCCAGTAATAATATAATTAGAAATTATATAAAAATTCATTGATTAATAAATCAATCAATTAATAATAGAAAGATACCAATCTGAGGATCGCATGTAATTATCACAGCTGTATGTCCGAGTCAACATTAGGCAGTGATTTGTTCTTTCACAGCCGCTCATTTACTAAGACGCTTTGGCGTACTGAATAACGGAATTGTACCTGATTGGAGTGCGTTCCGGTCTTTCCGATTCCATTGATTTTAGAATCGCTTTTGAACGTTTTCTCGGAGGGAGTATCAGGCCGCCCTCTTTACTGTCGACCGGTTCAGGGGAAGAGACAGAAATCGGCGATCCCGAAATAGGGCTGACAGGATTGCTGCTCGGCGGCGTCAACAGCTCTTCGTCTTCAATCATTTCCGGCAGTTGAACGAGCTCTACGGGGATTTTCACGTACGTCGGTTTACGTTGGATGGAGGTGACCGGCTCCGGAACCAGGTAGACCGGCGACTCGCTTACTCCGAATCCAGGTGTCTCGAGGACGTGGTCGGGGCTGGGTCTATATTCGGGTCCGGTCTCGCTGCTCGCCACTGCCACAGCAGCCAGCAATGCAGGGTTTACGCCACTCGGCCTCTCGTTTTTATACAAATAACCGCAGAGTTCACGTATGTTCGGATAACAACCTCCGCTTGGACTCTCACTACTTGATTTGTTCTCTTTATCGCTAGTCGACGAAGCACACGAAGATGATTCCATTTCCGTTGTCACCGTCTCTTCAGACCTTTCCCCTTCGGAATGACTCTTTATGTGACTTTCCATGGATTTCTTCGAAGTGAACGTCTGGTTACAGATGGTGCACTTGTACACTTTTTCACCAAAATGAGCGACTTGATGCAGTTTCAAGACGTGATTGTAACCGAAAGACTTACCGCATATGTCACAGGAATAAGGTTTTTCTCCTGTGTGACTCCGATTGTGGACCTTCAGCTGCTTCGAACACGTAAAACCCTTCCCGCAATCTTTGCACACGTAGGGTTTTTCGCCTGTGTGCGTCCTCATGTGAATTACGAGTTGGCCGCTCTGAATGAACGTTTTATTACAAACGGTACATTTGTGGGGGCGTTCTCCCGTATGAATTCTCATGTGACGGTGAAGTTTGCCGCTGTGTTCAAACGCTCGCTCGCATATGTCACACTTGTACGGTCTCTCTTTCGTGTGTATTCTCCTATGAACACTCAGATTTTCTTTGACGGAAAAAGACTTGTTACAATATTCGCACTGATACGGCTTTTCCCCGGTGTGAGTCCTGTAGTGTCTCGTGAGCCTAGCCGGAACTGCAAACGTCTTCCCGCAAAAATTGCATTGGTAAGGATCTTCGCCTTCTTTATGGGTTTTAATGTGGGTTTGGTACTGGATCCTGGAGGTGAACGTTTTCTGGCAAGTCGAGCACTGAAAGCTTTCTGCGGTGGAGGAGTCGGCAGGAGCGGGCTGGGCCGGTGGCTGGAACACGGGCAGATCGGGGATACACACCACCCTCCGGACAGGGGGTGGCTCTTCGGGAGCAGCGGGCTCTGGGCCCCCCGTCGCCAACGGGCTCAAGGTACAATCGGCCCCGACCTGCAACCCCTGTCTTGCGTCTCCGCTTAAGTATCCCACCATTTCCGAGACTCGGCTCCAAAGATCTACAAGCACAACAAAATCTACTATTAATACAATATATTTCCTGTTTCCTTAATTTATTCTTTATTTTTGTTCAATATCGACAATTCACGTGGGGATCGAAGACGTCGTCTTACCGCTATTTTCCGCTTTCTCTTTGGAATTGTTGGGCCACAAACTTTTTATCCAGTCTTTGTTCTCGCTCTTGGCTTCCATGTTATGGTGTGTTCAAGAAGTGACTGACACTCTCTGGAATAGTGCACGTGTAGGTGAGTGGGGGCCATGCGCACTGACACAAGCTACGTCACGGACACGTGCCGTTTTCTTCCCCACCAACTTATATTTACTCTCGCTTACCTAACCCTTGCCCTAGGTCGTGGTCGCCCTCCTACAGGAAACCCGACCGCCACACAGACCAGCCGGCCCGCCCACACTTCATCTCCAGTAATCATTTTTCCTATTAAATATAGAACTATCTACTTTTCATTTTTAAATTTTCTAGCATTACAGCACGCACTCAACTACAATTTCCGTCCGATCTATACAAAAACACTAAATAAAATTGAATTCTAATCAATTATTTAAAACTGTCAAATTTTTTATGCTCAATTGGAAGCGTAGGTTTACTTTCAGTTAAACGTTATTGTTTAGTATTTGATATTTCACATTTTGAGACAGGGGTATTGGCGTTTGGGTATATACACTCACGACCTTTTTAATTTACTGAAAAATAGGCAGGGACAAACATTATGTCGGCCTAGAAAAGTCTACGGTTAATACAAATTGAGAAATCACAAAACGATCGTTTGTTTGCACGATTTATCAATCATCCGTGCAAAAGTCTAGAAAACTTAGGTACGATGTTTTCTTATAATAGTAACCAGTAGTCAGGTTCAAAATATTAAAACGTTTGTTCGGAGTCTGAAAGACTTAAATATATACCACACTGGCTCTTTTTTAAAATAAACTATTACAGAATATTAATGACTGATGACCACTGTTTTAACCACTGCGTTAACTCACCTGAGGAAGGATTAAAATAAATCCGAACGTTGTGGATTGAAAGAAAAACTTTTTTTTTTAGATGACCTATTATCCCACCTTTGAGAAGGAAAAATCAAAGTTAAACTTAGGTACCATATACATAGGAAATACATTTACCTAATAAATACAAAAAAACGGACACTCGTATTTTTTTTTCAAACTATTTTATGTACTTTTAACGTTATATTAGTTACAGCGTACTTATTTTAATATACTTTTTATTTTACGTAATATACTTATTTTAATATAAGCAAAATTAAACAAGATGAGAAATCCATTTAATATAATGATGAAAACACAGTTTGAAATAAAAAATAAAATAGGAGTCCTTTTTTTTTAAAGTAAAAAGGGATTTTTTGAACATTAAATATCAAATGCAATCAAGCTGGGGAAATGATAATTTGGAAAAGGCACGACACCATGACAGTGACGGGCGGGGGATGGTTTAACAACAAAAGGATTTGGACTGGTGGAAGAGGACGGTGGACTGAAACGAAACCCAGTTGGAAACCATTGGCGGAGCCTCCACGTGCCTCACTTTCCCTTGGTCACCGACCTTAGTGAACCTACGCGATGTTGCTCACTCTCGCCTTCTTTCGGCTCAACTCTGGGCCATACTTGAAATTGAACCAGACGGAAGTCCTTTATATTTCTCCTAATTACCTTACATAACATTTTGACCAATATTATATGCTCTAACATAAATAATTATATACATTTCAATAATTACCCCCTGGTAAAAACATCCCTAGTGATATTTCATTCTGTATGGGAAAAAATGCCCGGTGTAATAACCTCATTGAAACAAAAAGGTTACTTTTCAATTCGTCAATATTTTTAAAATTGAACCATGCGAAAATATATTCAATATTTACACAAATCACATCGGTTATGTTGGTTTGTTGTTCAATGTTTGACTAAAATACTGAAATAATCAATTGATTTCATCCTACAATTGTTTTCGTGAGTATCTCATTATATTTTTAAATGATCCTTTGTTTTCGTTTCTTAGATTGGCGCTCAAAACTTAAAAGTATATGATCACTTTTTGTACATATGTATAATCCAGTAATATGACTACTGTATCAGTTAGTTTTCATTTTAAAAACTGTAGAAAATTTCCAAAAAAATATTTGAAAACTGATATTTTATTCATTTTATCTAAATTATATACGTACGGGCAAATATGATCGGATGGAAGTTTTTATAGTTAGGTTTTAGTGTCATCCATTACTTAGGCGTATCGTTATACCGATCGTTTTGGTTTGATTCGCCTTTTACCATCATCTTCAGAGATGCATGCCGGTAAGAATTATGTAATGTGTTGTTTGCATTCGTTCTTAGACCAGTTCTTTTCACGTGGCTATTCCATTCCGAGATTTTCCAATGGATACGATTGGTATTTTACTAATTAACTGGATTTACCTTTCACATATCATCTGGAGATAAATGTTTTTAATATTTTTGGGACCCAACACTGCCGCAATTTGTTATTATTTTGTATTTATTAAAGTGAAAAGCAATAATGATAGGTGAACGCCAAAATGGATAAGTGTGGTCAGGGATGGGCGTCAAAGGCGGCCATCTTTAGGCCTGACCTCGTTCACCGAATTCTTATTAAACCGAACTTTGGAACTTGCTGCCTTTTCGATAATTGGAATTTTATTCGTGATATCTATCCAAGACAGTTTTAAGCATTTTAAATTGACTTAATACATTAATCTTTGAAGTAACTAAGGTGTACTGTATGAGAAATTTTCAATTTTCATGATCCGCCATATTGCTTACGAAAAATCCAAGTATTTTATATGAAAATATAAGGAATTCAACATGTATATGAAAAATCTATGTTGTATAATATGATTAAAGAAATTAAAGATTGAGTTAAATCAATTGTTTTGAGAAATAAAAATGATAAGCATCAAAAATTTATTATTTCAATCTTGATAGAAAGTACAGTTGGGTTTTTCAACAACAAACTTTTTACAATTAGCTATTTATTTTATATTTATTTGTTTTGTTTAATTATGAGGGGCAAAACGGCTCGAAAAGACTGGATGTTTAAGTTTTACTGTGACTAGTATATAGGATGTTAAAATTATTTTATTACTTAAATGACCAAGATTGTATTTAAAAAATTACCTTTTTAGATCACGTTGATTATCCGTCGAAGTGAGCGGGAAAAGACTTTAAGGACAATATACTTCTTGACCTATGATATACAATAAAATGTTAGCCTTTCCTTTTGTGTAGGTGTATCGAGTGCTGCAGGTAAATCCAGCGAGCCCATCAACACGTCCATACTCCCAAATCCTTAATCTCTTAATTCTTGAAGGCAGGTAAAAAAGGGAAAAAGCTGAGCCCTGAAGGACAGAACACAGTACACAGAGGGCACAATCAAAATGTTTACCAAGGTACGTGGACGTATGGCGTACGGGAAAGGCCGAGATGTGGCGGAGTCGCTCGAAACCCCCGAAATCCTACTGGTTTGTGGGGGTTTGTGCCTAGTATCAATGACCTGGGAAGGACTAAGCGTCGCACCACGTGGAGTCTCCGCCGATGGTTTTCAAACCGCCTCTCCTCGCCAACCCCTCCGATCGTCATCCAACAACACTTCACCCCTTACCGATACATACTATACTACAAATTGTTATTTTTAGCACAGCCAAAATCAACGCAGCAGTTATTCCATAATAATGACAGTTATTTTATATTCAATCTTTTTATGTCTTTTTTGGTTAATATTTATTCAGGTGTCACCCCAAACGGTTCATTAGAATTTACGACAAAATTCTTCGGATTGCACTATTGTAAACATATACATACGTACACACTCTTAAATATACCACCTTTCGTAATGAATATAAAGAATATGTATAATATATATTTTTAAAAACGTGTGAAGACGGAACGGTTGCAATGTGGCGGATCGAACAAAAAAGCCAACAAGTTACGTTTACGCTCAAATGAAAAACCTTTCTCCCAGTGCACATTTACCATAATACCACCATCGAACCAAGTCCGCTACCTTGGGCTTTATTTAGATAGTAGACCACATACAAGATTAAAGCGACAAGAACCTAAGAAAAGATATGGACTGCTCAGACACCTGCTTGGACCAAAATCAACACTAAGCATACATAACAAACTAACCGCTTACAAAACATTTATCAGACCTATATGGACCTACGGAGTCTAGCTGGGGGCTCGGCCAAATCATCCAATATTTCCACGAATTCAATCTAAAGTTCTCCGCCGTACCCTCAATGCTCCCTTCTATTTCACCAATCAAACGATCCATAACGATTTTAAAATCCCTTTCGTGAAAGATCTTATCCTAAGAGGCTTCTTCACTTTCCACACTAAACTATCCTCCACCCTACCCACTAGCCCTACTCTTTTCTCAAAGTCTCACCTTACAATCCTCCGCGCCGTTTTAAACGACGATGGCCTCGTGACCTTCTATCTAACCCACTCAATTAAATTTAATCCACCCAATTAAATAAAAGAGAGTTCCAGCAGTGCCTCCTCTCTCCCCACAGCCTCCTCGGTCTGTCCGATTTGTTTATAAATAAGCTATTTGCCCAATGCATATTTTGTATAGATAGCAATAAATAAAACAAAATTAGTTTAACAAAAAATTAGATTGTGTCTGGCCCCGTTTGACGTTTGGAGTACATTCAATGATTATCTCGTAGAGTTAGACCAATCCGCTAATTATTTTTTCCTGTTTCCTTGATTAAAAAGTAGTAACGTCGTGAAACGATATAATTATTTGTACATTTATTGCATTCAAAATAATTTTTAAGAATGTTGAAATATAAATATAGGCAATTAATTGAGGTTTTTAGTTGAGATAAAAAAGTCAATGGCACGAGCGGGATTCGAACACACGATCTTCGGCTTGATACGCCGCTGCTCTACCACCTGAGCTATCGTGACCTCGATCCACTAGGACACCAACTTCCCATCTCAACCCCCACCTTTTGAATTTTCCCTCCTTTATGATCACGAGATTGATCACACAAAACTTATTGGGAAACTTATAATTAACCTTTTGAAATTCCTATAAAGCTTATAACCAGACTAAACATTAGCACAATTAGCAAATGAAACTCTAGAAAGGTCGGTGTCCGAGTGGATCGAGGACACGATAGCTCAGTTGGTAGAGCAGCGGCGTATCAAGCCGAAGATCGTGGGTTCGAATCCCGGTCGTGCCATTGACTTTTTTATCTCAACTAAAAACCTCAATTAATTGTAGTATATTAA